GAAAAGAAAAAGAAAAAGAAAAAAAAAAAAAAAAAGGTGATCCCACTATGTTTTTTGTGAATTCTTTTTCACAAAAATGATTTTATTTTGCAAGAAAAGAAAATTTGTGCAAAATAAAAAATAATCGTAATTTTTTTTTAGATTTTGCTAGTGCAAAATAAAAAATAATCTTAGACTATTTTAAGATTGCTTTGCAAAAAACCTTTCTCTCTGTTTTTTCTCATAAAAATGATGTTATTTCTTGAAAACACCTTATGTCATTTTCACGGAGATAAAAGAAAAAACAAAAAAAAGTTCCCAAAATCTGTGAGATATTTTAAGCGGGGACCACTAATTAATGTAATCCGCAAACAAAAAAAAAATGTTTTTTAAGGTGATCCCTACTGTTTTTGTATTTTTTTTTGCAAAAAATTATGTTATTATGCAAAAAATCGTTTTCACAAAATAAAAATAATTGTGAATTCTTTTAAGACTTTTCCAGTCTCCAAAGATAAAATTATTATATTATCATATTACCTTCCCATATTTTGTTATATCTGTGATTAGGACTTTATCAAAAGGGTAATTTTACTTTTGGTTATATATAACTCTAGAATTTTGTGTGGGGCTAAAAATGAGCGCCTAATATCATAAAATGAGTTAAATGACCATCTTTTCAAAGGTCGCCTTTACTTTTTCGCAATTATTTTCATTTTATTTTTTTCGCAAAATTGATGGCATTTCACGAAAAATGATGTTTTTCATAAAATATAAAAATTCAAGATTTACATTAAGATTGACATGCAAAAATTCTTTCTCCATTATTTTTTCACAAAAATGATGTTGTTTTTTGGTGAACCACATTGTCATTTTCACGGAATTAAAAAAAAAAAAAAAAAAAAAAAAGAGTTAGCAAAATCTGTTGAGATGTTTCAAATGTCATTTTCACGAAATTAAGAAGAAAAAAAGTGATTTTGTGATATTACCTTAGGATATTAGGTTATATCTATGATTAGTACTTTTATATATCTATGACCAAAAGGGTAAATTTGCTTACCAGTTATGCACGACTTTCTGTACACCAAAGTTGAAGATGGTGAAGGATGAAGGAAGTGCAATCCAACTAACGATTCCGATTCCAAAAGTCATAAGAACAGTAGATATAATAAGCTGATTCTTCAATGTTGGTTCAATATCTTTCACAGCTTTGATTTCAAAAAAATCAGTTGCAAAAAGTGTGGTTATCAAGCACACAAGAATCCCAACAGAGCTCACAAGCAATGGGTAACACATTGCAGTGTATTCATGGTTGATTCCAAAAGAAGAAATGGAAGCAACTACAAGTGCAGCACATGATGACTCAGCATAAGACCCGAAAAGATCAGATCCCATTCCAGCAATGTCACCAACATTATCTCCAACATTGTCAGCAATAACCTGAAAAAAAAAATGAGCATAAGTTAGATAAAATGCATCAGGAATGAGAAATGACACAAGGGTATAAAGGTAAACTTACAGCTGGATTTCTAGGATCATCTTCTGGAATGTTCCTTTCGACCTTTCCAACAAGATCAGCACCAACATCAGCAGCTTTAGTGTAAATACCACCACCAACTCTTCCAAACAGAGCCATGGAAGATCCACCAAGTCCATAACCAGTTATGGCTTCAAAAAGACCTTCCCAGTCATCTCCATAGTATAACTTGAATAAATTAATAGTAATAAACAAAACCAAAAGGCCATTTGCAGCAAGGAGAAAGCCCATTACAGCACCAGATCGAAATGCAGTAATGAAAGCTTTCCCAACACCTTTTCTTGCTTCTAATGTTGTTCTGGCATTCGCATATGTGGCTATTTTCATCCCAAGGAAACCAGAAAGGACAGAGGTAATGGCACCAAGCAAGAAGGAGATGGTGCTAAAGAAAGCAGTGGCAAGTGCAGGTTTACACATGCTGTGAACATCGTAGGTACATTGTTTACTCTTTGTGCTGAAGCCCTCAACAGAACCCAGGAAAAGGAAGATCAAGATTGCAAAAACAACCATGAAAATGCCCACGTATTGGTACATAGTAACCAAAAAGGATGTTGATCCTGTTATTTTGGAATGAACAAAGAAAACAAAGTACATATTAACACAAGTTAAGCGACAATCGTTTAATATATCCTATTCTATTACAATTTAGAAGTATCCTAATTCCAGATCTACCAATATAAAGTAGAAACTAGCTTTCCACTCACCAAACCAGGAAAATATCACGAATTTACACTGATTTGAGCTTTGACTGATTTCACAAAATGAAATGCGCAGTTAATGAAGTCGAAAACTACCATTATATGTAGATCCTAATGAGAACGAATGATTAAAAATCACAGAGAACAGTAGGTGAGAGACAGATCTAACCTTCAGAGATGGCATTCTGAATCTCAGCGCATTTCGCGACGACATTATGTTCGTTAACGCCCTCTTCTTCTTCGATTAAGGAATCATTGAATCCATTCTTGTTGTTGTTTGCCGGAGAGCCGTTTCGGTCTGGTGTGAGCTTTACTTTTGACACCAAAGCCCATTGGATCAGAGAAAAAATGATACCAATCACGGCACATACCGGAATGATGATCTGTGTAGCCAGATCTGGTAGTAACACGGAACCCATATCACCGGAAACTTATAAACCCTCCGGCAGACAAAAAAAAAAGGGAAGAGTAGAAGTGAAGTGGGAAAGCAAGCAGTTTGTATTTATAGTGAAGGACGATAAATGGTAACAAAAGCAGATTGGGTAATTTTAGGGTTTTGCAGGTTAATCTTTAGGGTATGGATTAGCGTTTAATTTGGTAAGGATTTGAGTAAATTTAGGGAAATTGAGTATATGATTAGATTTTGTTAATGAAGCAAATTTAACAAAGTAGTCAAAATTTAATGGAATTCAAATTAGGCAAGTAAATAGGTCTTTTCCGGGGAAGGCTTTCTTTTTTCTTCTTATTTTTTAATAGAAAAATTAAATTGGTTCCTATTTTTTATGCCTAGACAAATGTTCCTACCCAATAAAATTATCATTCCATATTTTTTTAACTAACTCATTAAGACTATATTAGAAATATATCAAATACAATTAAATTAAATGGTGATTTGTCATAATTTTATTGGGTAGGAATAATTGTAGGCATAAAAGATAGGAGGTAATTTAATTTCTCTTTTTAATATTAATTATAATTTTATTTTTTACTATTTGTTTGAAAGCCACAGGTTATCTCATCGAATCTGGCCTTAATTTTTTTATTTTTTTTTTGAAGTTTTTTAATTCTCAAATAATTATCACTATGCAGTGCATCTTGTTGGGTCATATGGATTGCGTCAATTGTTTACTTAATGTTTAGTCCATTTGTGTCTATCCACCCGGTTATTTATTATTAGGGTTTAGCTATTTATAGTACATGCATGCACCATATTTTGGAATCATTTTTGGCTGTAACCCTACTCTGCCTTTACAGTAGCAGTTCTTCATCGAGCCCTTCTAAGGCAGTGCTTTTCAATCATTAAGCACATATTCGATCATTGTTTCTTTGTTTTATTTAACTGCCTGTGTTGTGAATCTATCGATCAAACTCTTCATTTATTCTAACAAGTGGTATCAAAGCAGGTGATTGTGTAAATCTATGCAAATCTTCTGTCGAGTTTCATTAGGGTTTCTGCTTTTATTGGATCTGTTATAGTCGTCTTCATCGTCATTATCGATTGTAGACGTTGGATCTTGATCCATATTCTAACCTAAACTCGATTTTAATTTACGCATCTGATTCTCTACAGGTTTTATAGACAACATGCAACCTGACGATTCACACGTTAACTTCATCAATCTCTTAAGCAGCATTGGATCTACAGCAGGGATCCCTATACTCTTTCCAAATGATTATGAAGTGTGGGAACTGCACTTCGAAGATTATGTCCTTAGTCTTGAAGATAATGGTTCTTTGATATGGGAAGCCATGATTGTGCAGACGTTCTCTCATACTGGAACAAAGAGGGAAATCAAAGCTCAAGCTGATTATAACAATCTTCTTCTTCAAGTCAAAGACGTTCCACAGGACGAAAAAGACAAACTAATCAGTAACGTCAAGGCGATGAGGATAATTAGGTTTGCTTTGCCTCCAGACACGTTTCAGCTTGTGAGTTCCTGTGATACAGCTAAAGCGATTTGGGATAGGCTCAAAGAACTCTACACAAGTGATGCAGATCTTGAGCATTCAATTCAAACACTCCTGCTTTCGGAGTTTTGAGCCTTCGTTCAGAAGCCAGAGAAGAATCTCGATCAAACGTTCAACCGTTACAATCATCTTTTAAGTAGGATGATGAAACACAAAATTGGACGTGAATTGATAGAACAAGAAGTCACATTCATGAACTGGTTGAGATCTGAATGGAAAGTTGTGGTGTTGACGGTTAAAGCGCATGAGCAGTTTAAAAATTACTCCTTGGCGAAGCTTGTTGGTATTTTATGGTCACACGAGGATGAAGTGACAAAGGAAGGAAAGATAGTGTGTAACATCATGATTTCCAGAAGTGAGACTTTAAGGATTTTAGGCAAATAAGGAAGCCTACTCGACGAGTTGGAGGCCCCAACTCGTCGTGTAGAGAGTAACCAACCCACGTGACTTTTAGGACCTACTCGACGAGTTGGAGGACCCAACTCGACGAGTAGGAGCTGGAAATGAAAACCCTAATTATTAGGGTTTGCACCATATTTAAAGAACCTTAAGTCCATCCTCCCAGCCTCCTTACTACCCTTTCACGTCCAGAAGCAAACCCTAAGCAATCTGACCTTATTTTTGAGTGTTTGTGAGGCTAAAAGTGTGTTGTTGGTGCATATCTTGAAGATTTTGAAGTTAGGAACGAGGAGGAGTTTGTAGATCCCGCATCTACTTCAGCTTGGCATCATTTGGAAGGTAACAAGTCGTTACCTTGATCATCCTAGTGTTAGATCTCCTCATTCAAAGGCTTCAAGCCATTTCTAGCATTTTTGTGGGTCATTTCTAGTATGGAACATGATCTAAAGTTGTAACTTCATATCTGGACTCTTTTAGGCCCTCATTGACATAAAGCCTCAAGCTTTATGAAGCTTTGGCCCTTCTCCATAACCTAAACCTTTTCTTTAGTCTAGTTTTAGCATTTAAAGCCTGCATGCACATAAAGTTTCCAACTTTACGTGGTAACCATGTCCTAGGAGGCTAGATCTACAGTTGGGAGCCTTAGTTTAGCTTAAACGTGACTGAATGAGAAATGGATTGAAGGAACTCGACGATTTGGATAGTCAACTCAACAAGTTGAAGAGGGTTTTCCCGTTTTTTGGATTCCGAATGAACTCGACGAGTTAATGAGGTAACTCGACGAGTGGTAAGGGTTTTCCCCGATATTCTGGATACTTCATGGACTCGACAAGTTGTCTGGCAACTCGGCGAGTTGACTCAGGTTTTTGCGGTTTTCTGAGTTCTGGAGGAACTCGACGAGTTTGTAGTTGGACTCGACGAGTTTGGTCAACATGGATTGTTGACTTTGACTGTTGACCGTTGACTTTGACTTTGACTAAGAGTTGACCAAGTTTGATTTTCTGAGGGTATTCTGGTAATTTGGATCTGGATGGAATTAGTCCGGTAATGGTTGTATATGTTTGAGTTTTGAGTCGTGATTCGGGAGTTTGAGTCTTCAGTTCAGATCAACGTTACGAGGTGAGTTATCCTCACTATACTCAAGGGTCTAAGGCACCAAGGCCGGCCCTTCGAATCGTTATTCGGATTTGTTACTATTATGATATGTTAGACCGGTATCTTGGTAGATATAATGGTTATATGTTGTTATGATCTGTTAGATCGATATCCTGGTAGATAGGATGATGCTATGCTTAGTGATCTGTAGTTTGGTCAGATGGTCTGTACACTATTAGGTGATTACCTATTATATGTGCACACGTTAGATTAGTAGTTGAGGGTATTCCATCCTGAGGATGATTGTGAAGGGTTTTGAGCATTCTAATACTCCTATGGTGTACAAGCAACCTTAGAAAATCTATGTTTTCTCTATTATACATGCAATTTTGATTTTCCAAGGTTCTCAACCTAACTAACATATTATGGGGTACTTGTAATATAAAAACTTGGTAGAATAACATACATTTTTCCTTATGGTTGATTGCTTGGAGTTATGAGAGCCTAGCACCAATAATGTGGATGCCTCAAGTAGAATCACAAATCACCAAAACACCTTGGAAGACTTGAGAGTGTTGAGAGAAAAAACTTGAGAAACACACTTGAACAAACGTTAGAACAAGTTAGATAGCGGAATAAAGTTTAACTCAAAGGATCATAAAGCTCAACAATAATAAGAGTTAGTGGTTAGAATTGTTAGAATTTTAGATGCGGAGAGTAAGGAAATATATTCATTCAAACCAAGTTAGTAAATGAGATCAGACTTAGTGATTACTCCCAATTTTGGGATGTTGGTTACTCCTAGGGGCATATCCTAATACCCTTCTGTGTAGCTTGGTGCGGGTTCGAATGGAGGGAAGTTAAACTTCGGAGCAAGAACTGGTGCGGGTTTGAGTTTTGGTTTTCTATTTTTTTTATAATTTTGGTAACTTATGGTTTTTGTAATCTCTTTTTTTTATGTTAGTAAATAAAAAAGTTATATATATATATATATATATATATATATATATATATATATATATAAAAACGAAAATAAAGTTAAAAGTAAATAAAATATATAAAAAATGAAAAAAAAATACCATGTGGTGTAATTTTTTGAAAACTATAGGGACCAAATTTGAACTTTAAACCTATATTTACCACTGATTTTGCAAAATAATAATAATAATAATAACAAAGTTAATCATAAAATTTGTTAAATAGTCTAAAGTGATAAGTTGTGGTCAGATCTAACCAAAAAAAATTTGGTTTTTTTTTTTCAATTAACATGAAAATGTTGTGGTTTTTATCCCATTAAATGTATAAAGTATAATATCACAATAGACCCATGTGATAAACTTTATAAAAAAATAAAAAAAAAATACAATTTATAAATAACAAAACATAAACAAAAGTTTCCAAGTACAAAATTGGTACAATTACAATCTTAACAGCAAAAATTGAACAGAAAAAACAAGCAGTAACTATGTGATTGAACAGCAAAACGGAAACCTCTAGCAATAAGGCTTACATAAGTTGCATCAACATAAATTTATAATAATAGTTTTAAAAAAAAACCAAGTAGAAACGAACAGTAAACAAATGTTAATTTTCAAGTTTCGATATAATAAATATACTATTGAAGGGGTTTTTAGTTTCTAAATAAAAAACTGATAAAAATACATGAGAAAGAAACTATAACTTTTTTGTCCTACCCAGAAAACTAAAAGTGATCTTGATCTCTTATTTTTTTCAAAAGACATAAATACCCTCCTCTTCCTCATCATGAAAACAGCTTTAGTTAGGTCATGTCTCATGTAACAAATACAACCATAGAAGAAAAGCAAATAAACATCATAACATGAACAATAATACTCTCTTTGTTAATTTTTAGATTCAAATTTGCACAAGAGTTGTAATAACTCAAAGTTTCCAATACATGTCACCTATCATTCTATTATAATATAATCAATGTACACAAAACAAGTAGCAATTTTGGAACTTAAATTCTAGATATTCTGCAAAAACTCATTTTTGTCTCTCAGCAGCCTGCAAAAGAAAATTAAATGTCAAAAAGGAAGAACAAGAATTAAAGAAATTGAAGTGAAAGTCAAATAGTCAAACCTTTTGAAGTTTTTGCAAAACAGAATCTTCAAAAGCCTGATATCTAGCTCCAACAAGCTCTTCATTTACATGTTCACCATTTGAAGACTTCACAGGCTCACGAAATGTTGGAAAAGAATTAGTTACTGCTGCTTCAAGTGGTATAACCAATAAAGGATTTGAAAGATCTCCACACACAGTTCCAGTTGCTGCCACCTGTCAATAAATACACACACACACACACTGTTAAATGTGGACACTTGATAATTAAGGACCCTTTTTTGTAAATCAAAGTACAATGCTAAAAAAAAATTATGGAAAAAAAAAAAAAAGTTAAACTTACAGCTGCTTCTTTGGAAGCCATGACAATAAGAGCAGAACCCTTTTTCTTGGAGCTTCTAATAACCACATCTTTAACCTCACCAAATGTTTCAAATAACCCCCTCAATCTTTCCGCACTATACTCCAAACCACCCTTCTCCCATGACACTTTAAGCATCTTCTCCTTATCTGTATCAATCACATTACTTTTTTCTACACTAACCTTTTCTTTCTTTCTAGAAGATTCTCCGGTTTCAGTAAAACCCGTATTATTGTTTCCATGTTTTTCACGAATCCTATTAATTTCTTCTCTAAGTTTTCTTGCAATACTCTCTTCTTCATCTCTAGCTTTTGCAGTTGGATCATGATGATTAAAAGCATTCTTCTCTCGTTCTTCAAGATCTGACATCATTCTTCTACGTTTGGAGTCTTGTTGTGATTGGCGTTGAATTTTTTGTTGTTTTACTCGAAGAAGATCATCGAAAAGTTTTCGGGCTTTTTCATCTTTAAGGATTTGGTATGATGTTTGTAGTTTTTGGAAATTGGAAGGGGCGTTTGGGTCATTGGGTCTTTTGTCAGGGTGTAATTCTAAAGCTTTTAATCGGTATGCTTTTGTTATTTCTTTTTCTGAGAGCTTCGATCCTTCTTCACCAGATTGTAATCCAAGAATAGTGTAGTGGTCAATGTCAACATCCATATTTTCTTCTTCTTTCTACCTGTTGGAAACAAACAAGAGAGTTAAATGCTGTTTTTTTTAGTTTAAATTCATATCATAAGATGCTGGAAACCCGTGAAAGAACTTGAGGTTCCATAATAACTGCCAGAAACAATCCATGTTTGCTTCGATAACACAAAAATCCAATAGATTATCGCAATCATAGGCAAATTGGACAACGGTAGCTTCGCTATAAGCAACCAGTCGGTATAATCTTTAAGGCTTACGAATACATCGGCAAGAGTTACTCTCGAAATTTAGCCAAAAAAAAAAAGCCCTCAAATAATAGTTTAGTAGAAACCCTAGGTTAACATAATCGCAAAGTGTTTGTGCAAGACTCTAATTTGATATAGATTTTGGCATAACGTAAACATATACCAACATTTACATGCATTTATGTTATGAAAGTTGGGAATCTAATGAAAATTACCTGCTAAGATCGATCCGATGAAGATGGAGAGACGCAAACCCTCGACGGGAGATATTTGTAGTTGTCTAAAGTAGCGAATCGAAGGGATTTATGTGATTGATACTTACGCGGAATGAGGGAAACTGATTCCAGTAAATGGAGGAATCATATTCAGGAATCAGGATTTATTTAGATATATTAGGACCGGTATCGATAATTCCGGTTCAAGTTAGGGTTCGTAATTTATTTTCATTGCCATAAAATTATAAAAACCCGCTTTTACTTTTTTATTATTATTGCATTTGCAACAAAAACCTTAAGTAGAGTTTTTCCTTTTTTTACTTTTATTTTTTATTTTACTAATTTTATCTAATTAATTTATTTAACTTTCTAGTATTACATTTTTCTATCTTTTCCACCGATTTTCAATTTTCTTAAAGTAAATACCATAGAAAAAAACCTTTAAGTGCCAAAAAAAAAAGTTTTACCCAAACTAAGTTCTTTTTAGTTTGCTCCATTGCAAGATATTAATTTTATTCACTTTATATTTTTTTTCATGTTCATGCTGATCGGGCATCTTTTGTTGTGAAATGTCACGTTAGCATCTTATAAAAAGAAATACAAAGAATTGTGAGAAAGAGACACAAACTCGAGACCTCTTAAATGTAATACATGCGTCTGCGCCAATGAACCAAACAATATTTTTTTGTAATTATCGTTACTTTAATTACAAAAATATGTATAACTGACGCTACTTTATTTACATCTTTGTAATAAATGCAATGTATAAAACTAACACTACTTAGGGTAAGACACATGTCTCACACCTAAAACAATCTTTATACTTATGTTTATTTTTCTCAACTCTTGTACATTGAAAATGAGATTTAAATCTTTTAATATAAATTTATAAGTTTTTTCTTAAAATAGCATTTCAAAGAAAAAAAATATAAAGCAACTAGAACAATGTGATGCGAGCTATGGCATCAAAATTGGGGATGCATGCTTAAGAAAAAACTTCTTCTTTCATCATCACCTTCTTCATCCTCTAAATCACCTTTATTAAAGTAAATATAAGCTCACAATATTCCAACGACCCCTTGTGTTGATAAAGATTTAAATCATCAAGCAAAGTCGATATATATTAATAATTAGTT